CAAGAACGAGAAGGCCATGAGGTTCCCAATGAACAGCACAAACACGACAATGCAACACTGTTTAACAACCACTGATGGCAGTAGCTATAGCAGTGGCAGCAGTACATTTATTCGGACAAGTAGTGGTGGTGGCCATGGGGGTGGCACCGGCAATATTGACAGCAACCGAAACAGGGATTATAGTAGCATTGATGGGCATACGGCTGCAACAAGACGACCACACAGAAGAACGGTGATTGCAAGCACACGCGACGCGAACAGCACTCTTAGCAGGCCGCCCAGTAGGGGTTTCGATAAAAGTATGCAGTCCAGTGATATGAGCGAGAAGAGGTGCAAGAAAAAGGCTTGGTAATATGAGTCAAAGCACAGCAGGTGTTATTGGTAATGATATTTTCTTATGATTTCGGTGCTGACCCAGGTCGCGGCGCATTGTATCCTGTGCCGGAGACTCTGTGCCACTGCTCTAAATCAGCATGCCTCACCCTAATTGAGCAGCAAATATCTGCTTGGAATGTGGTTATTTATAAGGGGTCTTTAGTAGAGTGGCAAAGTGTTGATAGACGAGCCTCAACATTTTTTCGTGTGGCTGATGTTGCTTTCCTGTAGAGCTCCCGAGCCCCCCTTCTGATTCTTGAAGTCCCTGCCTGATTGTCGCATCGTACCTTCTGCGTTCAGCCTCTGATTATGCTGACCTTTGCACAATGTTACTCATTCCCGTTCACAAGCTCAGTCCAGCGCAGTACATACCTAAGACCGTGATTTTGATTCTATTGCTGCGTTTGCAGGGCCATGGTTGTGCGTTCGCGTGAACTGCAAGTCCTACGTGGAGCAGACCGGCTTAGCCCTAAACGTCTCGACAACTGCACCTCACACAGGACAGGCGTCTATGAGTTTTCTGACCCATCGAATGGCAAAGGCAATTATGAGTTAGTCATATGAGCAGTGCATGCAATTACGTAGCGACATCGGGTAGAGAAGCTACTCTCGATCCTAAGCAAGCTTACAAATCCTGCACGGGTGGCTCGGAGGTGACACCAAATTCCGAGAGCTTGCGCACATAAGGTCTTTGAGAAGACGGCCGGCCTTCTTCGGAGGAAGAAAGAGGAGAGGATGGGATTCGAGTACTACTGGTCGGCAGACTGCCTTTTCCGTTCTGTGACCACTGAAATAGCATGCGTGGTCCAGATCACTAGGCTGCTAATCTCATTTCGTAACATACATCCTACACACCCTTGAACCCCAAGCAGCAATGGCTGCCTGGTCTCCAGGAGGATCGACTGGTGGGCTGCTTGAACATGCAGTGGCCCGGGTTTCATGTCAAGCATGCGACGCTTAGGCACCCCCGTGTCGAGTGACTCGACATGTCATACGCAAGCAGACATCTTAGTACCAAACGAAGCGGCAAGCGCATGAATGAATGTGGCATGCATGCATGTATCTACGTATATGTATACACTCCACGATTAGCTTCCTATGTATTCGGCGGGTTGATTGGCAGCAACCATGTCTAGAAGGGGCTCTCCTTGTCGTGGCTTGCAAAGCTGTACAAGGTATTGACAGCGATGTGGACAGCCGTGGCGCAGAGGCATCCCGTCTTGTGAGTCTGAACAGCGAGACTTGTCTAGGCCGCAGGCTTAGCGGTTTTCTATCTGGGCCGAGCGCACGAAGGCTGCAGCCAGCTAGCATCAGGCACGCAAGAAGCAGGCCATGCGAGTCATTGCTCTACTTCTGCTCATCTGCTCATCTGCTCCTCTGCTCCAGAAGCACCGACACCAGAATTTGCAAAGAGAAGCCCAAGAGGCCGAACGTCGAAGGCCGCTGCGGAAGCTCGAGGAGGCAAGTAAGTACTGGGCTGTGGGACCTTCAGCAGTCTGTCTGGGGTTTAACTACTGTGAGTATGGGCTTATGCTATGCCGAGCCTTTTCCATGTCCGAGGGCAAGAGTGTAAGGCTGTAGGCGCCTGAGGTGGTGTTCGGGCAGCTCCAATCCCATCACAAGCTCTGCTAAACCATGCACCGCGCATGTTTCAAAGTCGCGAAACACCCTGGCCCTACCCGCCGAGAGCAGAGTTCGACTCTGTAAGAGCCCTCCAGCCGCACGCTAAGAAACAACTTGGCACATTGGAGAGAGGTACTGCCGGTAATACCCCTATTGCCGAGGCAAAGTCAACGTTGACATTGAGGAGTTTCAGAAAAGAGGAGTCGGAGACTCTTGATCGGACGGTTAATTCAGATAAACGTCAATTCAGGTTCAAAGACCATTAGGTAGAGCTCTTTTGACAAGGAAACCGCAACTTTCAACAGTTCCCGTGCCCTGTCTTTCTCCCATCTCGTCACTCGACGAATCCACTGCGCATCAAGACCCTCATCTAACTTCCCTTGCAAAGGAAAGGCAAAAGGCCGGATCGCCGCGCGAGCGCGCGAGGCACATCAGGGGCTTAGGAGCGGGGATCAGGGCTTAGGGTTTTATAGGATTTAGGGTTTAGGGTTTGGGAGCACGGGAGGTGCCCGCCAGCAGAGTGCTGAACGACTCTCGGCCTCGGGCCAGTCCCCCACCGCGAACATGTGCAACACTAACCGCCGCGATTCCAAGCTGCAAGCGAATCACCTGTAGCCCCATAAGACCTGCATATGCCTAGACTGCTCTTTCGTCCCAGTCAAGACATGTCAGTATGTTGCAGTCCTTAGCCAAGTCCAAGACCCAACGAGACGGCCTCAAAAAGGGGAGACGCAGATGCAGGACAGCAGCCTCGGCTGTTCGCCCTAGTATGAATTCCTTAGCCTCTGCTCCTTTAAAGTTGTGCTAGAAAACCTCGTCCAGCCTATGATTTTGCTCAACGAATTTGGAAAACCTGTCGAGCCCTGAGAGACCAAGCCAGGAAGTCGGGATCCCGCTCTCGGGAGATTGTGCGCCACGAGCCGCTCAGCGAGTCTCCCGAGCAGGCATCAAACTCGACATCAACCGTATTAATTAGCATATTGTGTATACACGTGTAATCAGGCAGAGAGTTAGTATCATCATCATTCCCATCATCATTACTATGCTACTGTTATTGTTATTGCTGTTATGGCGGTTAGCATACTTTTTTGTTGAGTGGTGCACTTTGCTACTTTTTGGCTTCTGGGTTCGTATTACAACAGGTGAACCTAAAAGCATATGCCTTTTTCTTAGTCGGTTACTGAACAGCCTAGTATATTACTACTTGAGACTTGAGACTTATGATTATGATGATTCTTACTGTCATTATTTTTCTTCTTCTTATTATGAGTCGTGTGATTCTTCTTGTTATATATATGTATATGTATATGTATATGTATATATATATATATATATATATGTAATTACACGCATATACATGGCACGTGATCTGGACCTGTTCAACCCCCATTCTTGAACGTCCAACATGGTTGTGTCGGCTAGCATAATTGTGCATGCGACGACGGCTCCATGACACTGAATCTTTGTCATTTCCTGTTCTATCAAACAACGGCAGTGGCAGCAATAACAGTTAGGCCAGACCACCGTTGCAGGCTGCCGCACTGCGCTGCTTGTACGAACTGCACGACAGCTTCCCGGAGGAGCGTCTTGACAGCATTGTAGGAATGGTCGCCGTGTAGCAATCAGATTAAGTATGACAAGACACTCGATATCCATCGTCACCGACGTCACAGGCTTTGTCGTCGTCAACTCCATTGCAATCATGATCATGAATCATGGGTATTGTCATCATCATCGCTGCGTGCGCTCGCAGGCCGCAAGCATCAGACGTGGGTTGCGAGGGCGATAGGCTCGATGACGCCATTTCCGAATGCACTGTGAACTGGCATCTCGACAGTTGAAGTCGTCTGTGGCCCCCTATATATCTCCCGAAGGAACTCTCGGACACGCGGCGGCTTCGGGGCCTTCTCGGCAACGCCCCGGTCGCGGCCCTCACGGCACCGGCCGTGGAGGCTTTGAGCCCAGGCTTGGCTTAAAGATCTTAGACGTTATTTGGGGTCTGCGGTTTGGGGTTATGATGAGATGGGGGCTAGCGCCACACTGTGGCGCTTGTAAAATCGGGTTCTGGAGCCCTTAGGGTTTGTAGGCTTGGGCGTTGAGGACCCGTGTGGACAAGCTACATAAACAGGGATTTAACCACCAGGGACTGAATTCCGATGCATGCATATGTCTGTGTGTGTGTGTGTGTCTGCTAACACGATGCTGCTGTCTGTAGGGAACGTAAAGGACTGATGCTAGGGATGTTATCGGTGCCTGCATTTTTTAATTTTCCGTCCGCCTGAGAGGTGGGTGTATCCTCCTCCTTCTCGCGGCTTGTGGCCCCATGGCCACAGTGGGTAGTGGTTTGGAGAACTGCGCTTCAGACAGTGGCATTATAGTGGAATCGATTGCATGTGCTGTTTCATGATGATCACGATGCCGCTGAATGATGACTCAGATCACGGGCCGGAGTTTCCTTGCAGATAGTCGCACGATGAAGTGCCCACCCGTGCCACTGCAAGGTCTCATCGCAAGATTCTGGCACTCCGAGCCGGACAAACGCATGCCGCCACATTCTGCCGGTTGTGAGCGCCAGGCGCTCCAGGGGGCGCTGGCTTTGCAAAGCTTTGCTGTCCCTCTGCTGGCGACTGTCAGGGCATGCGTTTGGTAGCGCAAGGTAGCGCAACGTAGCGCATGCGTTTGTTGTTTGTTGCTGTGCGTTGCCTTCGCTTCCGCTGCACCCGTGGTTGGAGTTCATGCGAACGGCGCTCCTTACGGAGGCAAGACCGTGAGAACCCGTAGGGCCGTGGGGCCGTAGGAGCCAAAGGCAAAGAGCTTGAAAGCCTGATGATGGGCAGCTTGTATACCTGTTCTGGGATCATGGGAGCGGATTAGTCAACAGTTCGAGAGCAGGTTGCGGAGCCTTCAACCATCCACGAAACCACCAGATGACAGAGTGAGTCAGAGAGGGTTTCGAGGCTTCAAAGCTTTTGCCTTCGGCAGAGTTTTTATCGAGTGACGCCATGGCTGCTGTGAAAGTGCTTGCGCTGTTGAGCGCAGTCTGCATCCTCACAGCCGTGGCTGAGGAAGTTGCGAAGCTGGCACTTGGGCATTCGCTTTCCTGCGCTCTGGGGTCACAAGGCTCCATTAAGTGCTGGGGGGACAACGGCAATGGTCAGCTGGGACAAGGGGACGACGTCAGAAGAGGCGATGGCGCGAACGAGATGGGCAAGTTTTTGCCGACCATTGATCTGGGGACAGGACGACATGCGCTCGAAGTGAACTCGGGGGCCTTCCATAATTGTGCCAGGCTGGACGATGGCCTCGTGAAATGCTGGGGGAGGGGCACGAAGGGCCAGCTGGGCATTGGAGACACCGAGCACAGAGGAGATAACAGTGACGAAATGGGGCAGTTCCTCCCCACCGTGGAGCTCGGAACAGGGCGCACAGCTGTGCGGCTAGGCTTGGGATACGAGTTTGGCTGTGCGGTCTTGGACGACGGCTCGCTGAAATGCTGGGGGGAAGGTGTACATGGTCAGCTGGGCCTTGGAACCAGCGCGAACATGGGGGACGGGAGCAGTGAGATGGGAGACCACCTCCCAGCAGTCGACCTGGGTACCGGTAGGACGGCAGCTGAAGTGACCGCCGGCTTCTACTTTACCTGCGCACGCCTCGACGATAGCTCCGTAAAGTGCTGGGGCAGCAATGGGTTTGGACAGATCGGTGATGGGAGCTCTGGGACTTATGTTGGGGATGCCAGCGGCGAGATGGGAGACAATCTTCCAACTGTGGACCTTGGAACAGGCCGCACCGCCGTCGAGCTGAGCGCCGGAGGGTATCACGTTTGTGCGAGACTCGACAATGGCTCCGTGAAGTGCTGGGGGAGGAATCACAAATACCAGTTGGGGCTGGGCTTAGATACCTCGACTCGCATCGGAGACGAATCGAACGAGATGGGCGATTATTTGCCCCCAGTCGACCTCGGCACGGGCAGGACAGCGGCAGAAGTGTCATCAGGATATTTTCATACCTGCGCCCGCTTGGATGATGGCGCCATCAGGTGCTGGGGCCCGAACGACTATGGCGAAATCGGCCACACAGCCACACTCCCCAGCAACGTAGATCTCGGAACCGGCAGAACTGCGGTCCATGTGGCCGCAAATGGCTATTCCACGTGTGCTCTCCTGGACAACCTGGAAACAAAATGCTGGGGACAAAACGATGATGGGACGTTGGGTCTTGGTGACACCCAAGACAGGGGAAAATCGAGCAGCGACATGGGAAACAGCCTCCCAGCTGTTGACATAGTCTTCCCCACCACCACGACCACAACCAGCACTACAAGCTCTCTGACGATGACCAGCAGCAGCAGCAGTAGCAGCTCCGCCACTATCACCCTTAGCACCACCAGAACCAGTAGCAGCACCAGCAGCACCAGCTCAAGCAGCACATCCACGCGCACCGTGACAACCACCACGAGCACCTCAACCACGAGCGCCAGCACATCCAGCAGCACGGGCACAAGCCGAACAACGAGCAGCAGCTCCGCTTCCAGAACCAGCAGTTCGACAACCACCTTGACGAGCACCTCAACCACGAGCGCCAGCACATCCAGCAGCACGGGCACAAGCCGAACAACGACCAGCAGTTCCGCCTCCAGAACCAGCAGTTCGACAACCACCCTGACGAGCACCTCAACCACAAGCGTCTCATCAACCGGAACGACGAGTGCCTTGGCCGTTTCGGATGTTGAAGCGAGAGTGTGCTGCTACTGCATGCTGCTATTGCTGATGATAATGCATGTGGACTGACAACGTCATGCGTTTTGGGAAGTCAATGCATGTTGTACTCTTGGCACGCGAAGCCGTAGAAGCACGGGCCTGAGCTTAGTTCCAGGGGAAGAGAGCCGGAGCGTGCTGAGCGGCTATACTCTCCAAGGTTCTGCCACCAGCTCCACTGCCGCCACCGACGACGCCAGAGAGGTGATGCGCAAGCAGGACCACCCTGCTCACTCTGTTTGGGGTCTCAAGGATTCAGCCCTTCAGCCGAGGACAGTAGGCCCATTGCAGGCAAGAGAGCATAACTTAATAATAGTAGTAGAAGCTGAACACCGAATTTCCCATGCGGGGGGCGTTCCCTCAGCGTGGCTGTTAACAAGCAGCCTGACTCAAAGACCCATACCAGCTCCGTCTTCGGTCCTTCGGTGTCCGCTGTCCCGTCCGCCGAAAATAAATGTCGTCCGTTGCGAGATCTCCCCGTTGCCAGGAGGCTGAGGCTGCAGTGAAGGAGGCCGAGGCTGCCACCGAGGCCGCGTCGCAGCGTCTGGCGGGGGGGGGGGGCGGGATCCGCTTCAGTGCGAGTGGTTTTTTGGGGCGTCGATAAAACCAGAATGGGGTTTGGAGATGTCTGGGGGGTATATTATGGTATTACAGTAAGGAACCCTACGGAATAGTGTTGGCAATTGTTTGGGCTTCTAAGGTTTGGGGATGCTGCGTTTGCCAGGGCAGCTTTCCGGGGCTGGGGCACGAGATGCTGCTTTAAGAATCACGGCTGTTGAAAATGTTGCAGGACCGGGTGACCTTCTCTCTTTGCTCAAGCTGACTGAGCTTAGGCCCTACCTTCTCTTGCTCGAGCTTACTGAGCTTAGGCTTCAACAGTTGGACTGAGGCAAAACTGTAGACAATCAAGGCTGATCAGAACTCCGCTGTGCGGCTGAGGTTGCAGTGCAGGACTTGCTGAACAGCTTGAACAACACAGGCGACAACGGCGTGATGGGCGAGGTCGTCGACACCACGGAAGCTGGAGCGGTGAAGGTGCGCCCCGTCGTTTGGGAGATCCCTTGAAGGAAGCCTGAGAAGCTTCAACCGGCGCAGTGCACACCCATATATGGCCTATATCCCTGTTCTTCAAAGGTGGTTGCGTACGATGTGGAAGCTTTGACGTCATCGGGACAGAATGCTACCGTCAGCATGGAGAACTCTTCCATCGGCGCTGAGGCGCATGCTTCACTCCTCACCCCTAGCGGCCTAGCTGGCGCCCCTTTTGCGTGCATAAGACCAAGACCTTCTGCCAGGTCCCCGGCGATGTACTGGCGCAAGCGCAGGCGCTTGTGGGCGACGGCCCGGTGCTGCTGGGTGTGGTGTCCTTGAGCGAGGACTGTCTTGGGGAAGTTGCACCCTGGGTTGTCCGGGATCTTTGGGCTTTTGCGACCAAGGGTTTGAAGTGGACCAGGGACCCCAAGCCAGAGAGCTCTTGTTGTCCGTCTGTGTGTCCGCCAACAGGATCTGGCCAAGAAGTTTAGCAATCCACCTGCTGACAGAGGGCCAGGCGAAGGACAGTCCGCCAGCATGTTCGCTGCGCGAGCTCGCATGCACCACCCTGACGCGTTGCGAGGGCCAAAGGCCCCCATTCTGCGGTCGAGCCCGGTCGTGGTCGAAGTGCGCAACAAGAACGGAGGCATTGTGGATCTAGGCGGGGCAGCGAGGGCTCAGCAGAATACCTTAGAGTCACGGGCAATGGGCCACCAACATGCTTCGCTCGAGAGCGCAACAGTGTGCCAGGGAAGCTGCAGAGCCCCATGGTGGTTCAGCTAGAGGCCTGGACGACGTGTACCTTCGAGGGTAGTCGCCTCGCCGTTGCCGCCGTTGCGGTTCCAGGTGTCGCACGACAACGACACTGTTAAGTGCGCCTATTGGAACGAGACCGAAGCGGTCTGGGAGACGGATGGCCTGGTCCGGCTGGAACTCAGGGCAGGCGTGCTCCGTTGCCAAACGCGTCGGCTGGGTATCTTCGGGGGTGTGGACGTCTTGGAGGCCCGCTGCAGTGAAGCTGCCCCCGGGCCCCAGAACAGACTTGGTGCCCGGGCAGGAACTGGAAAACGTGCTGAAGTGCAGCAGCCTCTTTGAAGTGCTCACCGCGGAGGGGATTGCAAAGTTGGCAAGGAGTGGGAGAGTCGAACTAGTCGCTCGCAAATCGGAACGCACCACAGACAACAACAATAACAACAGACTCGTAAGAGTTTCGCCCTTCCAGACCTGGATGGCTTCTGCGAACACCGACAGTGATCTACCTGTGCTTCCTGCTGCTGCTGCTGGGCTTGTAACATCCTCCCGCAAGGCCAGCTCATAATCCCAAGTCTGAGCTGCATGAATTCCGAGGATCCCTCGATACCTTTCAATTTCATGCTTCGCGAAGCCGACACAGCCCGAAGCCTTCCAGCACCTCCCTCAACAATGTGTGTGCTGAACCGAGATTCGCTTTGCTCCTCAGCTACGGGTATCACATGGATCGTCAGGTGCCAGCTGCTGCGGGGTCACGGCGTGTCACAGCGATTAGCTGATTAGCGGCTCTTCATCCTGCGTCGGTCGAGTCGGTGGTGCCGTTTTTTATGCATAGTGTGATTTTGCCAGTGCGAAAGCGGGCGTTTTGTAAGGTTGGTACAATATGTATCGATTCCCTGCTTCAGAGACATGGGAGAAGCGAGAGCAGCCAGGCCGAAAGAGCAATTCCTTCAAGGAACCGCCAAGTCACGCTGCTGCGGGAGGCCTATGGGGCCTTGTGTGTTGGGTCGACTCTTGGGGAATCACGTGGACTTGGGCAGCACGAGTTGGAATCCCTGTTCTTGTGCAAGAACCTGCGGCTTTCGGCAACACGTCCTAATGCCTTAGACCTGCAAACCGAAAGCCTGAACCCCAGCCAGGACGACGACCAGAAAGAGACCGGACTGTGTCGCTGCAACATGCTCCGGGGCTTGTGCAGCCAGGTGGCAGGACTTTCCGAAGCTTGCCCCGCAGTTCTGGCATGCTCTGCCACACTGGCACTGGCATGTGACGGCCGTTCTGCAGGACAGGTGGTGTTTCTGGCCGGGCTGCGGCGCCCAAAGCAGTTCGCCAAGAAGCGCATCCAGAGTCTCATTGACGACAGCATCAGCCAGATCATCGCGTACAGGACGTGGAGTCTTTTAGGGCAGTCCTTGAGGTCTCAAGCCAAAGAGACGTGCGCAAGGATGGGCTTGGACATGATCAGCATCAACGCCCTCATTCCCCACAGGGAACACAGCATCCAAGAGCTGCGACAGGAAGAAGAGGCCCGCTTTCGCAGAGACCTCTGGATGTCAAAGCGGTGCCCAACACCCTTGGTCTCATTCTCGTCAGGAGCAGCCAACGCCCAGGCGGGGTCTTGGCGGATGCGCTTCGACGCGACGTTTGTGCTGCTGCAGGTCTCGGGGTTGCTTCTCCTGCCAGCCTGCCTGGATGAAGCAGGTGGAGAGCAGGCGCGATGGCGCTTCAACTGCAAGTGGTTTGCTGGTGTGCAGATGTGTGCAGGGCGAGGAACCTAGCAGCTCGAGTTGGGGAGATGGCCCAGAGGGCTTCGCGGGTGCATCCGGCCACCAGCAAGAAGGCGCACTCGCAAATCGCGCAACTTCTGGACCTTCATCGCCGCTGGGCTTATACGGTAATCCTCGGCTTCGGAAGCTCTCAAGCATGAACCTCTGATCAGCTTCGCCTGGCCAGGTGCCGGGAATTCTGCCGTCAACACGGTGCTACGTGGAAACATGCGTGCCCTAACTCTGGAGTTGCTCCTTGGCCAGAAATGGGAAAGGCCTCTTGAGAGCAAGCTGCTGAGAGCCTGCGCGATGTTCTATCTGCAGTTGTGCCCTAGGCTGCCAGCTGTCCATGCCTACTCCGCGATTCTACGAATCCTGGCGGCAAGGGTTGCAGTTGATTTGACGCACGATTCTCCGACTCATGACTGTGCCTTGCCAGGATGCTTTTCCATAACCCCAGTCAGCATCCAGATCTGCGCCATCATCCTGAAGATCCTGAGTGCTTGTGCCGTGGTTCGAAATGCTGCTGCGCGTAGAAGAGCACGTCAGCTGTGTGAAGCGATTCCGCCGTTATAAGGCTTCATCAACGCGATCTTCTTGACAAGCAGCGCAAAAAGGGAGGACGTCGAAGGCACTCGGGCGAGTGTTCGGACCTCGGCGGAAGGTGTCTTCTCTGGCCTCCTACGGTATGTAGCCCTGCCGCAGGCTGCGACACCGAGATGCTGACTTTCGAACAACAGCTCGTTCGAGGTTTTTGGATTGGCCTCCTCTCAGCTGTGCTGAGCGATGTGATCATCCTCTGCCTGCTGCTGATCCAGAAGCCGTCGCTCAAGAAGATGAATCAGGAGATTGGAACCCTGTCAGCTGACCAAGGCTTGTAGTGAAGAGGGTTCCTGGGGCAGCGAGAGCGAAGCGAAGGTCAGAGGCGTGAAGAAGCTTGAATTGATGTCTCCTGGTGTGTGCAAGAGGAGAAGTGGGACCAGCAGGTGAGCAAGTGGCGGTGTAGAAGGTGCGTTTTTTGGGTGCCTTGGCACCAACATGAACAGATGGATGCTGTTCTAAACCCCCGCCTTTTGTAGGAAGAGTAGGGCATGCATTCGGTAGCTTAGTATTGGAGTTTACCAGATGTTAGACCCCAAGCGCTGACCGAGTCGAGGTGCATGTCCATTGAAAGGGTTATGTTGAAATGTGTGAAAACCCTCGTGCGCGCAAGACCGGGCAAGGGCGGGCGCAAGGGATGCCCGAATGCCACGGCGTTGATGCTGAATCTAGAACAACATGCAGATGCAAATCCGGGCTTCGGCTTGAACTGTTTGCTGACACCTTGGTGGCCCCGGCGAGTGAGTGAGGTGGCTGCAGCCTGCTACGCGGCCGTGTGCGTCTCCTATGTGCTAGTGTTCCTTGCCAGCGTCACCTACGAAGACAGCCAAGCTTGGCTCGGAGCCACCTCCACGAGCCTTCTCAAGGACTGTGGCTCTTGTGCAAGAACTGCACCCAGCAACCTTAACCCGAGCCTTCAGCAGCCCGGAGCTGACCCCTGCCCCAACAGTCCTTACATGCTGCTTCTGGGTACGTGCACCGCAGACAGCGTCCTAAGTCCTAAGTTTCTAGACTGGCATGGACAACTGCTGCTGAACGGCAAGCTACATGGGTCCCTTGCGTGCCATGCTATCTTTGGGACAAAAAGGACCCTAGTCTAGACACATCGATTCAGTCAGTCCTCGCAGTCCCTGCTGCTCGTCCCGGCAGCATCCGCCGTCATGCAAGGCAGGGCTTGATTCTTCGCGAAATCCCAAACTCAAGGGAGAATGGGTGCATGAAGTCAAGAGCAGGTCCTTTCTGAGCTTTTCCTGGAATGGGGATGGGATGTTAGTCAACCTCATTCGGGCCAGAGTTTCTTGGGAGGCCTGCTCATCACGGTGGCTCTTTGGCACGATCCGACGCTGAAAGAACGTGCTTGGGCTGCGATCTGCTCTCGGACACGAGCGCTAGGAGGATATTGTTCAGTTTTGTCAGCGGCAACTGTGGTGTTTCTTCTGGCACCTGGTTTCAGTCCTTTTGAAGATCGAGCTCTTTGGATTCAGCCATGAGCGGCCAAAGTTTGAGATCCAATGCACCGGGAGCCATTAGGACTGCTTCAGAAGAATGTTTTGGCATGTGTCCTTCAGCTGTCTGTGGTGGAGCAAGTCCAGTTGGCTCATTGGGGGGAGCACCGTTGCACCATGTATGCTTCGTACGACGATTTGCGGCCATGCTTCTCGCGAACTTTCGATGCTCATCCGATCCGTGTGAGCTCTGGAGGCATTCGTCAGAAGTGGATGAAGGATCCCCAGAAAGCCGGAGAAGACCAGGCAGCCGGCAATCCGGATAGCTTGTTTAGTACCTTGTAGTCATGAAGAGGCAGGTGCTTTCTGACAAGGCCCTTGTGAGGTTTAAGGGCCAAAAGCCTTCCCTTTCTGTGAGCGTAAGCGAACACTTCTTTTCCTGCTCCAGCCCTGTCGTTGGAGGCGTCGGTCGATTTTCAAGAAGAGCAGCAGGAGGCTGGCGCGGTACTATGGGATGCCATGGGCCAGCTTAAAGGTCTTAAAGTCTCCAAACCAAATCCCAGGCTCCAAGCACTTAAAGAGTGGGTTTCCTGAAGCGCAACACCCTTCGAGCATTCCCCTCACCAATCGGACCTCGCTGATTGGATCTCGCAAGGAAGATCGCCATGTTTCCATCCTGGTGTCGCCGACCCCTTCGTTGCCAGGCGCGGTCCAAGTGAAGGTCTTGAAAGAGATAGCTTCTGGACGAGTCGGGATGCGATGGGGGAAGGGGTGTCTATCCTTGCAGTCGCGAGGGGGCCCTTGACATGAAGAACTCGAGGGTCCTTTCATGGCCTTTCGGTCTGTTGCGGGTTCTACACTGCAGCTGACTCTGCTTTGTTCTGCCGGGTCCGCTTTCAGTTCTGTCCATGCTTGGAAAGTCGTTCCAAAGGTCGGTTTTGGCCCCCATTAAGTTGTCGAATGCTTTTCTTTTGCTATGAGATATTATTATTCTTGGGCATCACCACGTCCGATAGTTCTAATTCGCAAAGCCTTGTCAGGAGTCAGCAACTTCATGTCTAAGTGCTATCATAGTTACTGACTAGCATGCACTACTACTGATAATCGCTCAGTACCGCTGTCGATAGTCGCGGAGCTGTGTTGAGAGTATTCGCTGCAACTGGTATGCGTAGCTCCTTGTTAGAACATGCCCTTGAATATTTCGAGTCCTTGCTGCTTGTTACTCACCCGTACTGGTTGTGCATTCGTAGCTGGAAACTATGACCGTCCTGGCTCATTTCCAACCCCAGGAGTGCTTTCGAAGTTTCACTGTTGCTTGCAATATTTTCTCAGTTCCTGCTGTGTGTTGTTAGCTGACCGGTACAGAATTCCACGAATGACAACGAGCAGTGACTACTGGCTTCAAACTATTGCCTGGCATCACTCGTTGTCATCATGGCTTGTCACCTGCTAGCTATCACCTGAGTGCAATTATTACAATTAGCTGTTATTGTATTTTTTGTTGCTGCCGCTTTGCGCTTATCAGCTGAAGCCAAGCTTTCCGCCGGAGTTGTCGTTATTGGTTGTTTTGTTGAGCTCGCAGTTGTCATTATGTGCCATCATTGTTTATTGGCATTTGCCTCTAATTCTAGATGTGCGACGAAAGGCAACAGAGGAGTGGGCGGAGGGGGCACTGCGACAACAATATTTAGAGAGAGCCCAAATGACCCAATAACCAATGATGACCTCTAACACCTGGTTTTGTCATGAACTGACTA